GGACACCTCCCACACCCACTCCTCAGCATCCACTACACACGCTGTAGTTTTAAGTGGAAACGTGAAAGGATGTCATTAGGTGTCTCTGGGAAGTAAGTGACAAAATTCACACAAAAGTTCATGCAGTTGAGAAGACAGATTTAACTGTGTGTCAGCAAGAAATATCCTCTACCAGCTGTGGGGCAAGTGGAAAGACAAGTCCATGTGCTGGGGTCCACTGGGACCCACAGGAGCAATTTCTGTCTTGGACCCCCATCATTTTTCTACATGTTTCTGGAACTCTCCTTCACTGTACTGTCTTTGATCCTCTCAAGGGCCAAGTCCAGGTGAATATCCTAATCCAACCTGAAATCTAGTCTGATGAAAATTTACTTCATCAAACAAACAGCTATCCAAGCTTTCCCATCTCTGCTCATAGGAGCCCCAGACTTCTGAATTTCTTGTCGCCTTGGAATTGACTCAGGTTCCCTTCCTTTTAGCTCTTCCATAGTCACTCATACTCAGTCAGCAAGTTCTGCCTCAAGGGCATGCCTCAAATTCGACTTTTCACTTACAGTCCATCGTAAAGAATAGATGCTCAAGGTACATCATTGCAGCCCTAGTTACTATTGTAACTAGTGTTGTAACCGGGACATGAAAGCATCAACATCCATCAATAGAGGAATGGATAGAGAAGATAAAGTACATATATACAATGCAATATTACTCAGTCACAAAAATGAACAAGATTGTAGTGATGGGAATGGACCTAGAGTCTGTCACGCAAAGTGAAGTAAGTCAGAAAGAGAAAAACAAATATCCTATGTTAACACACACACAAATATGTATGGAAGCCAGAAAAATGGTACAGATTTACCTATTTGCAGGGCAGGAATAGAAGCACAGATACAGAGAAGGGACATGTTGACACAGACGGGGAAGAGGAGGGTGGGACAAATTGGGAGACTAGCATTGACATATACCCGCTTGCATGAGAGCTCAGTCAAGTCCGACTCCTTGTGACCCCATGGACTGTACCTAACCGGGCTCCACTGTCCATGGGATTCTCCAGGCAAGAATACTGGAGTGGGTTGCCATTTCCTTCTCTAGGGGATCTTCCCAACACAGAGATTGATTGTGCATCTCCTGCGTCTCCTGCATTGACAGATGGATTCTTTACCAATGTGCCTCCTGGAAAGCCCTATATATATACTAGCATCTGTAAAATAGATCCAGGGGAGGGGAGGTCAGGGAGCCAGGAGGCCAAGTCCACGCTGCTTGTGCTAGAGGCTCACAGAGAGGCCCCCAGGTGAAACCTTGAATTCTGCAGAAGGTTGAGGATGTGGGCTTTTTTCAAAATGTGATTTCTCAAGTACTATCTACATTGATTTCCTTTGGCCCAAGTGACAGCTGGTTTTAATTTAAATCAGCTATTTTCTTGAAAGCAAGGGAAAGCTTACCTTATCCCATAATCCCTCACTCCAGAATGTGGGGCCTTGCTATCTAGGAAGAATTCGCTTCAGGTGGCATTTCTAGGAGGGTGGTCAGAAGTGTAGCAGCACAGATATTAATTCTAAGTAGTTAACTTTCTTGGTTTTGCCTTGATTCCAGTAGATGATTAATCAAGTGCCTTTGTCCAGGCTCCAGCTGCCTTCTGGACTGGGCATAAGGAGACCTCTGTCTGTGGATTCCAGGTCATACGCACCACCTTCCGGACATGCCAGGACTGGAGTCAGCGCCATGCTGGTCCCTGTGTGATATGTGGACCGCTGGAGCCTGCCCTCGGATCTCAGCCCTGACACTAATGCCCGGTGTCTGGAGGGAAGCACCCAGTCTCCCAGCACTTTATTTGGTAGTTCAGTCACTCAGTCGTGTCCAACTCCTTGTGACCCTATGTGACCCCACTGTAGTCCGCCAGGCTCCTCTGTCCATGGGATTCTCCAGGCAATAATACTAGAGTGGGTTGCCATTTCCTCCCCCAGGGGATCTTCCCAACCCAGGGATCAAACCTGAGTCTCTTTCATCTCCTGCACCGGCCGGCAAATTCCACTGCTGAGCCACCGGGGAAGCCATATTTGTCCTGCTGCAAATACATTTTGGGCTTCCCCAGTGGCACTAGTGGTAAAGAGTCCTCCTGCAAATGCAGGAGATGCAAGAGACTCAGGTTCGATCCCTGGATTGGGACAATCTCCTGGGGGAGAAAATGGCAACCCACTCCAATATTCTTGCCTGGAGAATCCCATGGACAGAGGAGCCCGGAGGACTACAGTCCTCTGTAGCGAATAGGCAGACACGACTGAGCACACAGCACGCGCAGCACACACAGACCTCCCAAGAAGTGCCATCCTGACTTGTTCTCATTTCATGCCTGCTTCTGGCAGCAGCTGAGATTCTGGCCTGATGAGGACCCAGAAACTAGGGAAACTGAGGTTCAGGGCACAGTGATGACTTGCGCCTGAAGTCTTCCCGACCCTGCGAGGACTCCCACCACCTTCTCCCAGCTTCAAGACCAAGTTCTTTCCGGTAATCCATCATTCCTCATTACACAAAGAGAACACCAAGGGCTTTATGTGTTACGGGCAATAATTCACGTAAGGAAGTGAGATTATAGTCCATCTTAGGGATTCCGAGGAACCTTAAGACGGTGTGTATTTCGATACCAAAGAGATCTAGCATGATTCTTTTGTTGGTTCATAAAATGCTCAAATGCTCAAACCCTAAGTGCAATGCCCAACAGATATATCCTTCCTTATATATATATATATATGTATGTGTGTATATATATATATATATAAAGAGGAATTTTTCAGTATCAGGTGGAAAAATAAGCATGGACATTGGGGGAAATAGTCTAGATTTCACCCTGAGTCAGGTCCGGGGCAGCGGACATGACAGCAGCCTCACGGCCGGGCATCACCCAGCCCACAGTCCTGCTCCAAGCCTTATGTCTGCTCACTGTGTATAAGGCAAGCCACACCCAAAGACATCTGCACATGAACATGTCTTGCAGGACACATCCTATACATAATATTGCTTCCAGAGAAGTAAAAAAAGGGGAGGGCTTCCCTGGTGGCTCAGTGGTAAAGAACCTGCCTGCCAATGCAGGAGACACGGGTTCAAGCCCCGGTCCGGGAAGATCCCACATGCCGCAGGGCATCTGAACCCATGCGTGTGCGTCACAACCGCTGAGCCTGTGCTCTGGAGCCTGGGAGCGGCAACAACCGAGCCCTTGTGCTGCCGCTACTGAAGCCTGCACGTTTGAAAGTGAAGAAGATCTCTGTCACACATTCCTGGGATCTGCACTGTCCCCCCATGAAAAGAGCCATTGCTCTTTTCTGTCATGGCTAGACCAGAGACGAGACGATACGATACCCACAGCCTGACAAGAAAGTGTCTGCATGACGGAGGCTTTGTGCCAATTCGTCCTCGCAGGGACATCAGGAACAGGGGCGTCTGACGAACAAAGGGTCGTGTCACTGGCTTGGCTTCTCTTGGAGACTGTAATGGTCCCTCTTTGCTCACTGGAGTCTGGCTTGCTCAGACTGGATTTTCTTGATCTTTTACTGACACTGAGAAAAGCGCACGTGGATTGAGTCTCCCGGCAAGGCTCTGAAAGACAGCTGCTGTGGGGGGTGGTCTGCGTGTGTGAAAACCCCCGACGGACACAGTGGAAGCTGGCCTGCGACACACAATAGCATCTATGTGTGGCCCAGCAGCCAGCAAACAGCTTCCTTCCCTGCAAGGGGAGAGCCGTGCCAAGTGAGGACAAGAAGATCTTAGAGAGGCTGATCATTTGCCTGTCGGAGGCAGATGTTTCAAAATGGACAAATAATTTCCTTGCTGTGTGCAGTCCGGATTTTCTTTCCTCTCCATGCTCTTAGTTCTAATTCCCAAACTCTCTCCCCTCCTTCATTTTATAGCATTTTGATATACACATGCGTTCAGTCTCCATGTATGAAGACAGACATAGCAATTTGTCTTTCCAGAATCCTGGGGCTTTGCTGTTCCGTGAAGATCCATAACGAAATACAAGAGTTCTCATTCCCTTCCTGTTAACATAATTCATGGAGTTTTCCCCTGCGCTCAGAGCACAGAGCACAGAGCTAAGTCCTACATAAGCATCATCAATAACAGTGCATTCTTACCAGCGTCCCTGGACAGTTTGCTAAATTCCTTCTGAGTGCCTCTTGCTGGCCCTTACAATGGTTAACTGGTAAACACACTGGAAGCTAGGAATCCCATTGTGCCATCAGGATGTACATTCTGTGACACAGATAGAGGACCGAGTTCATGGAATCACATTTGGTGTGCCTGTAATCCTAAGCGAAGTTTATCTTGAGGCAAAAGTCAGCTTTCCCAAACATCGGCACAGTCTGAGTGAGCTGGGGTTTTGGGCTTTGTTTTCTTAACAGATGCTAGAAGTTAAAAACAGGAATCTGAACTATGCCTTAGTTTTTTCTTCTCCATGTCATTTTACCTGGCCCGAAAAGGCAAAAGAAGGAGCAAGTAGTGTTGCTAAGTAATACTTTAGGATATGACCTGAATACTCCCTCCGAGCCATCCAGGAATCCCACATGTAACTTTCACAGCCCAACAAGCCAAAACAGTTCCAGGATGACAGATGACTGCGGAGCAAAAGGGACAGAAGGAATTTGATACAAACGAAGACCTGTTGGCTTTTTAAATTGCAACTTAGAAAATATGGAGCCGGCTAGAATTTTTAATTTGCAAAACAAATAACCACTTTAACCATCATCTAATCATAGAGTCCTCTGTTCTCCACACTGCAAAGCCAAAACAGGTCCTAGGGAATAACTTTAGGAAAATAACACATTCATGCACCAAAAAAAAAAAAACAAAAAAAAAAGGAATCTCAGCCGAGAACACGCTCTTCTTGCCCAGCCCTGGGCTCCCCAAAGACGAAGGCAGACTGAAAGCTTAAACACGATTCGAATGCCAGGAGCTCACTGCTCATGACAGACTCCAGCCCAGCCTCCCCACCCAGAGGACAGGGTACTCACCCGTCACGAGGCTGTAGTAATTGGGATAGGAGAGACTGGGAAAGTCCGGGGTCAAGTAATCCACCTTGACCCCTCTGCTCACAATCTCTTTGAACCCAGGCAAGGACTCCAGGGCCTCATTGCTGATGTAGTCTGCTCGGAAGCCGTCCAGCAGAAACAACAGGAGTTTCCGGCGGGCCGAGGCTGGCTGCGCCAGGCTGAGCACGAGGGCCAGCAGGAGGATCCCCAGCTTCCCTGCCATGCCACCAGGAGCCTGCCCCAGCCAAGGATATGCAGAGACTGCAGCTATTCTCTCTTCTAGGGGCTGGACCTTTACTACTGGCCTTCCTGAGCCAAGTTCACTTTCAGAATTTAAAGGTACAGCACCCCCTTTTAAAAACGTCTAGGCTCACCCTTTACTAGCAAGTCTGGAGATGGACTCCTTCAGAGAAGTCAGGTTCCCAAACCACCTGGGATGAACACCAGGGGAGAGAGAGAGTGCAACTCTTAAACCACAAAGATGCCCAGAGCCAACAAGTAAGAGCCCACCCAAGACAAGGTCACCAGGAGAAAACCTGACAGGCAAGGCGGATCAGGTTTTCAGGGATTCTGAAAAGCTGCCGCCGGCGCTAACCTCAAAGATGATATCTGTCTTTCTGATGCTTGCTTCAGTAGACTACTCCCTAATTTCTGTGACACAGGCAGAAGGCCTTCCCCGATCTCTTTCCAAATCAGAATCAATTTAGAACTTTAATCAGTAAGTTTCCCGGCTGGTGGTATCTTATGAGATTATCCAAGATGAAAGGAGTGTTTTAATTTAAACTCCTTTACTGGTATTTTAGTTTTAGTTTGTTTGGCAAATGCGTTTATGCCCTTGGTACTAATATGCATGATTGCTCATAATACCCTAATCATAAAATAGCATAAAGAACCTGATCATATAAAGACCCTAATAGACATAAAGCCTTTTTGGGGGGTGAAGGAGTCCTATTAGAAAACACAAGAAAAATTATTCTAAAAGTGGTTATTGGGTTAACGTTTGCTTGCTGTGTTTTCACTCTTAATATGTTAAGGTTGTGTTATGGAAACCACTGGTAATACAGTTAAAGATCTAGAAAACTAAGAGCTTAGCCCTAGTGTAGTAATAATGAGATGGTTGTTAATTGTCAACCAGGAGTGCTAGGCAGAGGCTGCCTCACTGAAGCGGCAGAGTCTGTGTGGGGTAAACTTCTTAGATAACTGCAACTGACAACTTCTGCAGAAGGATTAATTTTTGTGTTAACAAGGTTATACTTCTACTCTGTACTGTTGCCCTATGAGACTGCTACCTTTCAGTTAAGGTCACCATAGAAACGGAAAATAGGTTTACATTCACCTGACCTGCATAAAATGTTAATAGGCCCAAAGGACAGAAGATACTGACAAGACCCTCATAAACAAAGAAGTACGCAGAAAACACCCTGGTTTCGTGAAGGACAAGCTGATGAAATGTTAAACTATCTTCCCCTTAGAAATGTACTAACAGGGTATAAAAGCTACGGTAAAAAATAAAGCATTGCCAGATCCTGCCAGACCCTGCTGCACACCCCCGTCTAGTCTCTCTCTCTCTCTCTCTCTCTCTCTCTCTCTCTTTCTCTCTTTCCCTCGCAGACTTGGCCCTATCAAGGCTGGTCTCCCATCTCTCTCTCTCACCGACGCCGTTCATCCTGACGGTACCCCCTGGATCCTGCCGAGGCTGGACCCCGGCACAAAGGGGCACTTGTCATGGGTGCTTGCCATCTATTGTACCTCTACAATGGTGAAATCACGTGATGCTGTGGCGCTGACCTCTGACCTCCCCCCCTCCCAAGGAGTCTAGGGTGGAGATGAGGAATGAGTGCCTCAGGAATGAGGTACTCTGTACTCCAGGAAACTGGCAGGGAAGGTCTTCGGATGGTGGTCAGATATTTTCAGGAGCTGGTTTCCCCTCATATCCAGTTGTTTCCTCATATTCAGAAAAGCACTAAAATACTTCTGCTAGTTACTGTATCTCATGACTAGCAGAAGCTCCATGAGAACAGAAGAAACTCTACCAAAAAAGAAAAAAAAAGTGCTTGATGGCATGTACTTCCCCTTCGCCAGAATCACATATACACTGCCCGTCCCCCCGACCTCTTTGGAGCAGTTTCCAAGAGCTATCAGAGGTGCTGTCTCCAAGCTGCAGTCCTCATTTTACCCCAAATAAAACTCAACTCGCAACGCTCACAGTGTGCATCATTTTTAGTCGACAGTTATGGTGACCAGTGAAGAGACCCAGAGTGGACTTCCCTCCTTTGCCTGAACTCTACGAGGAACCCGAGCCTCGGTACCACCAGCAGCCCCTTGAGCCCATCCACCTCAGGAGTGCAGACAAATTTGGGGAAGTCTCCTTTGGCTCTAGGATCTCCCGCAGGGGCTGAGGATCCTGAGTTCTTGTTTTGTTTTTCTAATATGGGGAGAGGGACCAGAGGCCTGCCCACTGACCTTGATATTGGCCACAGGCCCCAGGTCTCTGGGGACAGAGCGTGGAGGGCACTCACTAGGACTAGCTCCCTCCATCCCCGGTGATCTGGGGCCAAGAACACTGGAGGCAGAGCCGGCCTGGAACCCCACCGCCCTGGCCCCGGCCGGCTCCATCCCTACACTGGAGGTGCAGCCCTCAGGCTCCTGGGCACCTGAATCCTCAAGGCAGCTAAGCCTGGGGCCCTGCCCTGTCTTTTCATCACATGATCTTCCCAACCACAGAGACCTCTCACTCCTGCTGCAAGTGAACCCTGGAGCAGCGAGGTGGGAATAGAGACAGGAGAACTCCAGAAGAAAAAGATACACAGAAGAACTGTACAAAAAAGATCTGCATGACCCAGATAATCACCATGGTGTGATCACTCACCTAGAGCCAGACATCCTGGAATGTGAAGTCAGTGGGCCTTAGGAAGCATCACTACAAACAAAGCTAGTGGAGTTGATGGAATTCCAGTTGAGCTATCTCAAATCCTAAAAGATGATGCTGTGAAAGTGCGGCACCAATATAATATGCCAGCAAATTTGGAATACTCAGCAGTGGCCACAGGACTAGAAAAGGTCAGTTTTCATTCCAATCCCAAAGAAAGGCAATGTCAAAGAATGCTCAAACTACCGCATAATTGCGCTCATCTCACACTCTAGTAAAGTAATGCTCAAAATTCTCCAAGCCAGGCTTCAGCAATATGTGAACCATGAACTTCCAGATGTTCAAGATGGCTTTAAAAAAGGCAGAGAAACGAGATGTCAAATTGCCAACATCTGCTGAATCATTGAAAAAGCAAGAGAGTTCCAGAAAAACATCTATTTCTGCTTTATTGACTATGCCAAAGCCTTTGATTGTGTGGTTAACAATAAACTGGAAAATTCTGAAAGAGATGGGAATACCAGACCACCTGACCTGCCTCTTGAGAAATCTATATGCAGGTCAGGAAGCAACAGTTAGAACTGGACATGGAACAGACTGGTTCCAAATTGGGAAAGGAGTACATCAAGGCTGTATATTGTCACCCTGATTATTTAACTTATATGCAGAGTACATCATGAGAAATGCTGGGCTGGAAGAAGCACAAACTGGAATTAAGATTGCTGGGAGAAATATCAATAACCTCAGATATGCAGATGACACCACCTTTATGGCAGATAGTGAAGAAGAACTAAAGAGCCTCTTGAGGAAAGTGAAAGAGGAGAGTGAAAAAGTTGGCTTAAAGCTCAACACTCAGAAAACTAAGATCATGGCATCTGGTCCCATCACCTTCATGGCAAATAGGTGGGGCAACAGTGGAACAGTGTTAGACTTTATTTTTGGGGGCTCCAAAATTACTGCAGATGATGACTGCAGCCATAAAATTAAAAGACGCTTACTCCTTGGAAGGAAAGTTATGACCAACCTAGATAGCATATTAAAAAAGCAGAGATATTACTTTGTCAACAAGGTCAGTCTAGTTAAGGCTATGGTTTTTCCAGTAGTCATGTATGGATTCAAAAATTGGACTATAAAGAAAGCTGAACACCAAAGAATTGATGCTTTTGAACTGTGGTGTTGGAGAAGACTCTTGAGAGTCTCTTGGACTGCAAGGAGATCCAACCAGTCCATCCTAAAGGAGATCAGTCCTGGGTGTTCCTTGGAAGGACTGATGCTGAAGCTGAAACTCCAATATACTTTGGCCACCTCATGTGAAGAGCTGACTCATTGAAAAAGACCCTGATGCTGGGAAAGATTGAGGGCAGGAGGGGAAGGGAATGACAGAGGATGAGATGGTTGGATGGCATTACCGACTCAATGGACATGGGTCTGGGTGGACTCCGGGAGTTTATGATGGACAGGGAGGCCTGGCGTGCTGCGATTCATGAGTTCCCAAAGAGTCAGACATGACTGAGTGACTAAACTGAACTGAAGAACTCCAGAGGCACTCCTGGTCCAGGGCTCACCTGCCCTTAGGGCTGGATGACACCTGCTGCCCACCCAGGGCTCTCTACTGCCTGGGAGGGCATGGCAGTATCACACACTTCCCTGAGGCCCCTTGCAGTAGCTCACACCCTCTATTTAAGAATGTATGATTCCAAGATCAAATGGAAAAGCTCAACAATGCAAAACTGCAGTTACTTTTGCATGAACCTAATAGATGGGATCCTCTCACCTGGCCAACTGATAATACCTGCTCTGACCCTTGTCATAAAGTCTCTTTTCAGCTCATAAGGCTCAATCAAAACAACAAGCCAAGTCTCAATCAAAACTTATGACCTCTCGTCTATTAAAAGGAACCCCCCCCCCACCGGCCCCACATTATGAGATGGGCTTAGACAGTTAACAACAGGCTTTGGTCATTTAAGTTTAAGAGCTCCTCAATTTTGGGAACAATTAAATCACAGTGTGGAAAATTCTTAAGGAGATAGGAATACCAGACCACCTGACCTGCCTCTTGAGAAACCTGTAAGCAGGTCCGAAAGCAACAGTTAGAACTGGACATGGAACAACATACTGGTTCCAAATAGGAAAAGGAGTACGTCATGGCTGTATATTGTCACCCTGCTTATTTAACTTCCATGCAGAGTACATCATGAGAAATGCTGGACTGGAGGAAGCACAACTGGAATCAAGATTGCCGGGAGAAATATCAGTAACCTCAGATGTGCAGATGACACCACCTTTATGGCAGAGAGTGAAGAGGAACTAAAAAGCCTCTTGATGAAAGTGAAAGAGGAGAGTGAAAAAGTTGGCTT